GCGGCGAGTGGCGAAACGACGTAGAGTAGATATAGCGCATGAGAACTATGTATCTACGCATGTCAGTCGTAAGTCGGCGGCTTGGAAATATAGGCTGCCACGCTAATGGCGCACCGGTAAAGGTCAAACCGACCGACAATGCTATGTGTTTCAACCTTGTGCGTCGGTGTGACCTTCTCCTTCCCGAAGGAGTCGTGCAGTCATCACTACTAGTACTAACTCTAGGCATGCGCAACCCATAAGATCAACGCCTAGCTAACCTGAAATCAGTTTACAATACACAGAGCCTAGGGCTCAGTACAAGTAGGAGGTCGCGCGGGAGGGGCATGTGTACAGCGTTCGATGCGTTGTGTGTGCAGCTACCCTCGACATGGAAATGACTTACCACAGCCGTGCTTCACATGGGTAAAGTTCTCCCGTCGAGGACCTACCAGTACACACCGGAGTGGAGTGACGAACCACCGGCACCCGACAAGGGCGTGCTTTGGACGTGCTCCTGCGAAATTTTGGTTTGCAACCAACAATTTATTCTGATATTTTTGCCCAATAAATAGCCACAATCCCAAAAGTCGATGGAAACGATTTTGATTGGCTACTTTTCCAAAAACCGCTGACACAAAAGTCGCTCCGAACACGCCCTTAGTACTATAATACGTATTAATAGTACTAGTACGTAGTATAAATAATATGGTCGTACTAGCCCTAAGGTAGTAAAATACTACGTAGTAAAATACTACGTAGTACTACTACAGTAGTATAGTACTTCTAAGTTTCGAAGACACCATTTTTCGTCTAAGTTCAGGTTATTTACAGTATATTTCGTCGAACGCACAACGGATTCACGCCATGTGCGTTATGTTCGCCAAGTATTCAATATATTTCGTCCAGGCCCTACATGGTTGCAGTATATTTCGACTATTGTCCGGTATATGTCACCCCACAGCTGGTATATTTCACACATTGTTCAATATATTTCAAATGATGTTCAATAAATCGACGCAGCAATCGACGGAACGAAGTAGCTAATAAAATTTTCGGAAAAGAACTTTCGATCAATCAAATTTCAGGCGTATCCTATGCATCGCCAAGCTTCTCCATTTCACAGAGTTCAACGTTGTATCGGACAGGAGTCACAGTGAGTACATTTAGATCAAGTAAAATGACGCTCGACGATTTCAGGTGGATTTGACGTCGTACGTCGAATCTACCGAAAATACCAAATTTAGCTCGAAAGCACAATATCTATGATTTAGACAAGTATCCACCACCTGCGATTTACTTGATTTGCTTCGAAAATTGAAATAGATGGAACATCATTTGAAATTTATTGAACAATGTGTGAAATATACCCCCTGGGGGTGACATATACTGGACATTAGTCGAAATATACTGAAACGAATGTAGGGTTTGGACGAAATATATCGAATGTTCAGCGAACATAACGTGAATCAGTTGTGGGTCGGACGAAATAAACAAGAAATAACCTGAACTTAACAACGAAAAATGGTGTAGTAGAAAATGTATTGTAACGTCAGTACTGTAGCAAGTTGAGAGTGACCAATGTGGGAGAGATTGCACAATAAAATCTGAAAAGCACGAAATATCAGTATTTCATACTATTAGCAGTATTAATATGCTTTTGGTAGAATAACATATCTAACATTTCGATATGATGGCATTTACTCTTACAGGAATGTTTTGAGCAGCACAATGGGGCTTCAAGCATTGTGGAAATAACTTTACTGACGTCATCCAAAACAATTGGTTCCCCTTCAACACACGCATCCGACCTCTTGTGGATCGTTATGTACTTTTCCCGCAGCCTCCTTCGATTCTTGGTCTCTTTTCCCCCACCAATTGCGCTACCAGTACAGTATACAGACAGCCTTTCCATATTGTTCATGCGCGTATGAAACGTAGTGTGCCAAGATAAGAAGCCATCTCTGCAGACATGCACCGTCACTACAGTACACACGTTGAAATAATCTAGTCAGAGTCCCCGTGTTCAACACTCCACACTTCACAAACTGCATTTTGACTGCATTCAGAGCTTATGAAGCTTACAACATGCACCCGTGGCCACTGCATGCCCCTGGCTAGGGCACGTACTGTATAATGCCACGGATACAAAAGTTCCCACGTGAGTTCCGTCCCTATGTCGCACTTGGAATCTAACACCGTATGTTTGGTGGTGCATTCGCTTCAGCGTTCCCATTGGATAGAATTGCGGCATGTGATTGGCTGCCTAGCGAAACAGTATCCCACTCGTCGCAGGCTGATTACGGTTACACCATCGAATTTGAACATACACATTCGGAGAGCTTGACATTTCCCAATACCAAGCATCATGCAGAGGGAGGCGACGGTCCGTACACCAACCCGCGACGACGAAACGTTCATCGCGGACACTTCGTTCGTGATCATGGAGCCAGATCGGGTGCACACAGTGCCGTCCTCGACGATCCGACTGTCGATGGGACAGGGCAATACTGTTGCGTTCAACTCGGAGCATTCATCATGGGCTAACGTGACCAGCCATCGGACGTCGTCCAAGCGACCGTCCATTACTCGCTGCTCTATAGATGTCAAGCCGCCACTTTCTAACGGTTTCAAGCGTTCGCGCGCTCGAGGCGAGTCTCTGCTCTTGGACGCGCGATTTCTGAGTGACGAAGATGCTTCGCGGCTCATCTTGCAAGCGAATCGCCCTCCTTGCGAGGACGGCTCGACGTTGGAGGGTACAGTACTGGCGTCCTTCTTCTTCACTGCACGATTTCATGTTGATTGCTCGTAGAAATGATGCAAAGCATCAAAGCCCGGCAGTACTACCAGCAACAATTCGCAAAGATCCAAGAACAGGCGGGTATGAACCCCCGTACGCTTCGGTTTTCGCCCGTGTACGAAGACGCGTACGCGACGTACTGCCAGAAGAGCTCGCTTCTTCGCGTCCGGTTCTGCTTTCTCCTCGGCATGTGCTCGCTCGGATTCTTCCTCTGGTACGATACGACGCAGCCATCGTACAAGGCGACGGCCACGATGCCGTTCTGGACGTTTTCATTCGCCACCGTGTCCCGCAAGGACATTTTGGACGTACTGAGCATCGTGGGGCCGGTCGCGTTCGGCGCGGGTGTGCTGCTCACGTACTTCAAGCGGTTTCAACGGGGCGTGGCGCTCGAGATGATGTCGTTCGTTGTTTTTGGAGTGGTCGCGCTGTCTCTCATCGTGCGCAAGCCCGTGGGGAGGTATCGAGGCCCAGTGCTGCCGCTGGTGATCCTGCTCATCCCGGTGTTTGGCATCACCAAGATGCGCTTCCAGTGGAGTTGCTTGCTGGGGTGGGCCACGTTTGCGCTCTACCTGACCATCCAGCTCGCGTCCAAGAAGTTCCTCGACGACCAGACGTCGGAAAAGTGGGATTCCGTGTCGGATCTGGTCTACCAAAGCATCAACTACGGCATCAGCATCATCGGGGGCATGGTGTCTCATTATCGACAGGTATACTCGCTATGATATATATTTGATGGTTTCGTTATGTGATGTTGAGATATACTAGTACTACTGTAGTAGTACTACGTAGTACTCGTATGATGTTATTTGTGGTAACTAACTTATATGGATTCATCTTTGATATGCTGACATTGTATAATGCTACTGTAATACTTGTGATATACCTGGTACTAGGTACTAGTACTACGTAGTACTTGTATTGATGTACAGTATGCGATTTGTGATATGGATATAGATATATACTATTCGTATGACGTGATTTGAGATGTATGGATATGCGCGATACTGTACTTGATAACGTTATCTAAGATACTACTCTAGTAGTACTGTACTACTAGAGTATTAATAGTATGAGGTTTACAGGTGTACGTACTACAGTAGTACAGTAGTCGTAGTACAAAACTGTTTGTGATAGATGGAATGATGGGGTGACGACAGCAATGTGTTGTAGGAACTGCTGCGGCGGCGCAACTTTGCTTTGCAGTTGCCGTTTGCGGGGCTCATGGTGGACGACTCTGTCGAGTTGAAGGACGACAAGTTCAAGAAGCGCGCGCTGCTCCGCCGCGTGACGATGGCATTCCGACACCCGGACGTCGAAGCCATGTTCTACAAGCACTGGTACCTCATCGATCCGTTCCCGTTTAAAAACCCCAACGAGGCGGGGCTGCACGCCGGCGAATTCCGCGTGCTTCGGTTCCCCATCTACGGTCTACTCGTAGACCAAGTGATTCTCGGCATCCAGGACTACAAGCTGCTGTGGCTGCCCGGTCATCCCGTCAAGTCCACGAGTCCGTTCACAGTGTCCGAGTCGGCGTGGGCGTACTACGCGAGCCTCGTGTGCCGCTACGCGGTGATCGTGCCTTGCTACTTGAGCATCGTGGGGCTGTTGTATTGCATGGGCCGGGCGTTTTACACCAAGTGGCTGGCACAGACCAACCAGGACGACCTCACCCATGCCGCGCTGTTGCAAGTCGAGCAAGGCACCCCGAGCGACGTCCAGCAAGTGTCGACGTTGGCGCTCAACGTGGCGCGATGGCGGCAATGGCGCGACGAGCGGTGGACGGACATGCTCACGGCCAAGGGCGGGTTCGTACGAACGAATGATGCTTGTTGTTGTTTTACACAGATCATGGCCTAGGTATGCGCGGTTTGGCCAGATGTACGCGTCGATGGTGGTGGCGCTGCACGTGGGCTGCATTGCGATGCTGCTGCTGTGGGTCACCCGCACCACACACAAGAAGCAAAACGTCTACTTTATGGGGCTGCTGAACGCGCTCTTGTTCCCGCACCGGTCGGGGTTTCGCATTCGGTTCATTTACGCGACCGTGACGACCGTGACGCTGGCAATGCTGTTTATCGTCACGTCGGCGCTGGTGCTCGATTCGGCGGCGTCGTCGTCGGTGCTCGGGGTTGTCTTGACCGGCGACAAGGACCTGCGCAACCTCTGGATCGAATACGTGACCTACATTGTGGTGGTGGTGCTGCTGGGAATGTTTGTCTCGCGCGAAGAAGAAAGCTTGCGCCGATCGTTTTTCATCCTCAAGAGCCTCCGGACGCTCGAGTTCGAAGAGTGGTTCCACACGCTGCTCAAGATCCAAGGCTGGATGCGCATCAAACTCAAGGCCAAGCTGCACCACATTCGCATCCAGCGCACGGAAGATATGGCTCGACCGACCGACGACAAGCGACACGCCAACGTTGGTACGTTGCATCTTCGTTGTGTTGCGTACTGTTATGGCTTTGATGGTTTTGTGTGTGTAGAAGTGGTGGCCGATACGTCGCCGTACATGGGCATGGCGTCCAAGTATGGCATATATGCGCAATCGTTCAACTTGGCCGCTGTCCTCGTCGACCTCATTCTTTCCCTGGGCAGCGCATAAGATGCGCGCAAAGTTCCGAAGAGGCTCGCGACGAACGTCGACACACACGCTACCCGAGGCTGATCTAGTTGACCACTTGAAGCAGTGCCATAACTAACACACAAACACAACTGTTACTCGTAATTCATAAGGAATGGTTGTTAACGTAGGTGGCCAGTTGTTTTGGTGCACAGGATAGTTTAAGGTGCACTCAAATTGGCCAATGGAACTGGTTTATTTTTCGAATAGCCAATCGAATCACTAGAAAAAATGAAATCACCAAAAACTAGAAGTAAGCAAAAACACCATGCACGGTTCATTTAACGTTACTTTGATTTCCACTCAAGTTAACTATAACTAGTTAAGTTAACTATAACTAGTTAAGGCAAAAGAAGTGGGACGATTTACAGTTAACATGGAGGCTGCGGGAAATCGCGACATCCGGTTTCGCATCGACGGTATTTGCTACTACGTAGTAATCCATTTTTTGAATGGATTTGATTGGCTCTTGTAGAAAGGACAAGTATATAATACTAGTAGTAGTTTTGATGGTACGACATCAGAACTGCAGCACGCGAAGAACAAAATGTGGTGCTTCACCCGCCAGGCTATGAGACGTCGTCAGTTCACATACACTTCGATTCCTGTAGCATTATACATCTCTTCTAAAGCTTCTCTCTGGCGCGCAACGCAGTTTGGCCTGTGTGTAGTCCAGTAGCTCCACCAACGATGGGAGGACGGCGATGTCCGCGCCATGCTCTTATTGCTACTAGGGAACTCTTCGAGAGTTCGTACTCCGCTGAGAGAACCTATAGATTGAATGCTACATGTCATTCCTTGAAAGCGTGCTCGCACCATATCTCTGAGCTGACATACAGCCATGCGTCACCAAGCCATCACGGAAGCGACCTGCCATCACCCGATTCTGGTGTATTTACCTATATAATCCGGTACTTCATATCCAATTAGACAGGTTTATTCGGAAAACTCAAGTTTTGGCATACATAAATCAAGTGAAAATGGAGGCGACAACTATTGTGCGCCAGGGTGGGCGATAATTAGATGGATAAATGTATAAGTTTATAGGATGCAAATTCACTAGTTTTGAAACTTTGAAGCATCGTTTTGGCAAGACTATAAACATTCGGGATTCGTTCAAAATAGCAAGTTGTAGAGTGGACCGAAGTATTAAACTTTTCTGGCTAACAGTTTTGTAACAAAAGTTATGCTCAAAAATCACCCTCGAAGCTGTTGCGCACTGTCAACATTGATTCAACAAACCAATATTGATTTGACAAACTAGGAGAATTTTGGAAGTTTAGAGCGAATTCACAATATCAACTAGAAACTTCAATTCGCCGCTGTTTGCAACCACAACGAGGCTATACCTTACAACCCAGCTAAAGTTAGAACGTCAAGATGGAGTCACAACGTGGACGTTCAATGCATAGCTAAAGTGTCAAGTGCACATTGCCGTTATTGATACCAACAAATCAATACAAGCAGCATGAAGTGGGGACTGATGATGACGATTGCGATCCTGGCGACGGCGCTGGAGGGGGCACCTGTTCGTGCCCGAACCCTTGAAGAGTCCCAAGATGTGGCCCAGCAAATCCGAGACAAGAACCAGCGGCACCTGGATGGCAAGGCGCGGATTCGGGAAGCCCAAGAAGGCCGCTTCTGGCGCAACCACTTGTGATTAACGTGATTACCATTTTGAGCTATCAAATACAGGAGGAGGTCTATCTCACTCGTGTGCCGGTCATTCATGCACTTTGCACAAGCGGTTCGGCGGGGGTGGAGATGATCGCAGGGGCCGACGCCACGACACGGCGTTGTCGTTCCCGGTTCTGGTTGACAGATACTTCCTGGCACTTCTTGGGCTCATTCCACCAGAATCGCACAAAACCGTCACGCGTCGCAAACAACGTGTGGTCTCTGCCGATACCTACACCCTTGCCCGCATGGACCTTGGTGCCTCGTTGGCGGATGATGATGTTGCCCGAGATCACAGCTTCGCCGCCAAACTTTTTCACGCCGAGACGCTTCGAGACAGAGTCGCGACCGTTCTTCGTCGAACCACCGGACTTCTTACTGGCATGGCGAACGAACTGCGTCGGCATGAACGGCGACGCCAGACTCAAGCTGCGGAAAAACGCCAACGACATGATGCTGCAGTTCCAACGAAAATGGCTGCCGGCTCCACGCACACCACCGAGTTTGGATATCCGGATACGGAAAAGGTGTCATTGTATCCGGATAGTACTCAACCATGCACCAGAAGTTACCGACATGTACAGGTCCAATTGAAGTGGGCTTCCTAGATGCATCCATGATGCTGAAAGGACCTGAACATCCAACTCATCCTGATCAAGTATATGCCAGCAAGTTGCTGGGCATCCTGGCAGCAACTCTGTAATAGTGGATCGATTCGTTGTGGTTTCCAAGATAAAGGCACATACCAGTACACGAGGGACGATGGGAATTACAACATGACAGAGGTACTATAGTTGACCTGTCCTTGTACAGATGTCTCGGATCCGATGGTTGAATGGGCGTAGCCTAAGAAGGCAATCAACGCTTGTTGCTAGAAAGCGTGCAGTTGTGTTTGTCCTCGAGCTCCAATGGGCTGAACATGGATTTTGAATTGAGCATTGCGTGTAGACCCCCCCCTTCCTGAGTCAAGCTCCATATGATGCGAGAAGCGACATTATCGAGGCATACAATATATATTTGGCATTATGAAAGACGTCGTCGAATTTTCGCTCATTCCACGGTCGACAGCACCGCTTCTCGTCTCGACGCTTTACTCGTTGATGGCTGTGGGGACAATGAGCACGTGCCATTGGTGCAACCAGCAACACGCCCTACACCAAGCACATTCGTCAGGTCGTGTAGAGAATACTTCCCTCGTCACGTACCAGAAGATCCACAAGCAGAACCCCGTCATGGCGGAAAACAGAATGAAGATCCTACGTTGCCAGGGTCAGATCAACCGAAGGTGAAAGGTATCCATCGTACGAGGCATGTTCCTTGTCGACTTTGCCAGTGACGCGAGCAAAGAACCCGACGACGATGGTGACGATCGTAAGGACGAGGTACGTGATGCTTCCGTTGATGAAGGGTTCGGGAAGCGTGGAAAGCAAAGACGTCGTCGACATGATGATGGGCAGGAGGAGCTAGGCGACTGGCGATATCGGCAATCGATGAAAAAAACCAACGCAAATATGCGGCACCCCCTGGCCGTTACTGGAAAATCTTTTAACCGAGGGGGAATCTCACGGAATATCATACACATTGTAAGAATAATGACATTATGTTGTTCCCACCAGGGACCCTTGGCAAATGGCTATTTCAGGAAACCAATCCGGATAACACAACTTATCCGTACATCATACCACGGATCTTCGCCAAAAAAAAAGTGCGAAAAAAGAACTTCAACAACTTATTCGACGACGACACCTTAAAAGTCCAAACAACGTGCAAACGTGCAAGCGTCATGCCAGACCTAGCCAGAAGCAACAATGCCGCTGTCGGTGTGAAGGCGGATGGCCTTCCTCGATGGGGCGACGTGCCTTCACAGCAGAACAATGACATCATCGAGGATTCACCGTCGAGCAAGTTGAAGTCGTCGGCGAACGCGTCCACCATGCCGCCCTTTTGCATGAACCGGTCGTTGAATGCCAAGGTAGCTTTGTGGAAAGGAGCCATTTGGACATTGGAAGTCGATGCCATCGTGATCTCGACCAACGAATCCCTCACAGACGACACCGACGTCAGCGGCGGCATCCTCAAAGCAGCCGGCAACGAAATTTACACGGAAATTCGGTCCGCGGGGACGTGCCGCACCGGCGATGCCGTGGCTACTCGCGCTTGTCAATTGCTTGCCAAGTACACATCACGTTCCATGTCAACGGTGTTTCAAATGTGCGGACGCGTAGGAGACTAATCCACACCGTGGGCCCTCGGTACAACGACAAGTACAAGAACGCCGCGGAAAACGCGCTGCATTCAAGCTACCGCAACTGCCTCCGCGTGGCCAAAGAGGAGCGCGCGTCGACCGTTGCATTTCCGTGCATTTACCGCCGGAAGAAGAACTACCCCCGCGACGAAGCGACCCACGTCGCCCTTCGCACCATCCGCCGGTTCCTCGAACACTTCGGCGACTCGTTCGACCTGATCGTGCTGTGCGTGGAGGACACAGGCGACCTGCAATTGTATCAAGAGTGGCTGCCCGTCTACTTTCCTCGGTCGACGGACGACGAGGCCGCCGGAAAGCTGGCGCTGGATGCGCTGCCGCACATCAACCTCGGCGACGAGTTTGGCGAGCCAGTGATCGAAGAACGCAAGATCCGCATCAGCTCAGTGCCGTTCGTACACGACAACAACCATGCCGACGACTATCCACATGACGAAATAGCGCTAGGCAGACGCACAACGACCCTGTGTGGTTAGTAGAGTGTCTCTAAGTTGAACGCTGACATGTTGATAGCAGCGTTGGATCGCATGTCGCCGGACGCAATGGTGACCAAATCATTTTGTGAAATGACCCCAAGCCCAGACAAGGACCGATTAGAGCTGCTCAAGACCCGACGGCGTACTAGCACGACGGAAGTGCCCCCCGTGGTGTCGTACCAGGCGTACGTCCACCAAGCCAAGCAAGAGGTACTTGTCCACGTGTATTATGTATTACACAGGGCCCCTTACATAATTGCAGGACTTTCAAGATATTGCCGCGCTTGGCCTCATCTACCGGGCGGGGGTCGACCACGCAGGGGGCCCCGTGCTCATGGTCGTGGGGAAGCATCTGCCGTCGTCGTCGGTCGATTTGGATCGGGTGCTACTCTATGTCATCCACGTGATGGATGCAGTCGTGGAGCAAAAGTACTCGGTGCGACTAGTAGGACTACTAGAACTACACATTAACTAACATGCTCGTGGACGGATATAGGTCGTGTATGCCCACGGAGGTGTGACCGACCAAAACCAGCCCACGTCGACGTGGCTGCACCAGCTCTTTAACACGTTCAGTGCCAAGTCCGTGCCAACTGACAACACACATAGAGCAAAGACGACTCATGCGATGGATGTATGTAGGTATCGAGACAATCTCAAGGCGTTCTACATCGTCGAGGCCTCGATGTGGCTCAGAATGACACTGTGGATGGCCAAAGCCTTTGTTCACAACAGTTTCTACGCCAAGGTCGCGTACGTAGACACAACCGACGCACTCCACCAAGTGGCCCCCAGTCTTCGTCTCCCAGGCGACAAATAGCCCCCATATTGCATGTATTTGTAGTACTACAGTAGTAGTCGATAATGTCAAAATAGTCTATTGAGCATGTCTTGGGGACGTTGTGGCGATCGATCAAGACGACGACGTGGCGGCATCTGTGACACCGTCCACAAGCACAATCGAGTGGTTGTCCGAGCCCGCAACCAACTACCAGCCACACGTTAGGACCATGTCGCACGCATATGCGACACCGTACCGTGTCGGACACTCCGTCAACGTCCAAGGCATTCCAAGGCAAAATGCCACTGGCCACCGTCGTCACAGTCACGCCACCGTCGCTGGAATGACGCTCGTAGTCCACCTAGACAACCAGTTCATGCATATATATATATATAATATATATAATATATTGTGGATTCGACACAAATTTCCAGAACCCCGTCGAAACGAATGTCGCCGCCGCCGATTCGAATCACGAATCGACGCTAGTATTGGCTAATCCAATTTTGAGTGGATTTGATTGGCTCTTGCAGAAAGGATATTCAACCAATCAGAACTCCAGTGTGATTCAATATGGATTCGACAAACCACGCGATTTTTGGACGTTTATATAGCGAATTCACAATATATACACACACACACACACATATATATATATATATATATATATATTCGTTGCATGAGAGTACCTTGTCGGAAGTCGAGGATGTCGCTCCAGCGTAAAAGTCCCAGCTCAACACGGTGCTGTCGTCGCTCGCGGTGAACACAAACCCAGGCTTGGTGTCGTGCCACGTCACACTGCGCACTACACGATAAAACACTAGTGTATACGTACAAGGAAGAGGCCACCGAACCTGCTTTTCTGTGACGACGTTCCGTGCGCAGAGCGGAGTTCCCAAGCATGCGACGGTCCCACAGCGTCAGCGACCCGTCAGTTGTGCCGGCCAAGAGCAGCTCTGGGCGCGTCGGATGCGCCGCCAAGCTCGTGAAGGCCGCCCCCGTCGGCCTATTCTCCATGTCGTTAGCGTCGAGTGCGTTCATGATGGGTTAATTACCCCGTGGAGGCCACGGGTCTGTCCTGGCTGGCCGTCAAATCCCACAATTGCAGTGGTCGACGTGGGTTGGCACTACAGTTTTTGTCGACACAAACGGGTGACTGAGTGACAATTGGGGGTGTTTTCGTACCACGCGAGCGCAATGTGGGTGTCGACGCCGAGCATTTTCACGTCGTGAATGGCCCAATGGTCCACATCTACATGTGAAACATGACAAAGAGTAGGACGGCGAGGCGTACCCAGGACGCGGACATCCTGCGGGCGATCGAGGTTGGTCCATGCCACTTGGCCACTCTCGCAAGCGGCGACGATCGAGGCCGAGTGGCTGTCCGCGTCGATGCCTGCCAAACTGCCCATGGAAAGGTGTTCCCACTGAGGAATCGCCTGCACGGAGAATCCATGGTCACGGCGGATGCGGACAGGGCGAGGGTCCACGTACCACTGACTTGAGAGCAAGCGACGAGTCCGACTTGACAATGCTGCTGACGTAAAGGCTTCCGTTGGAGCTTCCGCTCACGACAAAGTCATTGTTGGCAACTGAGAGAAACCCCAAGGACGTGACGTCCCCTGCATGCGCCACCGAGCTCAACTCACCGATTTCGGTGTTAGCTTCCTCCCTACCATCAAGGTAGGACAAGGCATGAGAAGCGAGAGATGAAGGATAAGATAGAGATGAGACAGACTCGAATTCATCGGCCAAATCCATGTGGTCCACTGTGGGCATTTGAGGGAACAGCAGCGAGATCGAGTTGTCCTACTCGGTTGTTGGCACACATGTCGACAGAAACACCGCGATAAGATAACGTACAACAGAGCCATATCCCCCAGCAACAAGCAATGGAACGGCACATTCGTCGCCTTCCAGGCATGCCGCGCCCTTGGCTCCATGCAGGAACTTGAGTGCGCGGACCTTTTGCCCGACGTAGCTCGTGACTTGCTTTCCCATCTTGTACTGCTTGTTGTTGGTGTCCAAAACGCGGAATTAAAATTCAACATTTCAACTTGATTTTCGTATTACGAATAAGTCATATTTTAACTTTGGTATACTCGACAGTGATTGGGTAATGCTTCCGCAAGCTATCAAAACGCGAAAATCTTCGACATGGATCGCGAGTTGGACGAACCGACCAGCGCAGAGGAGCCGCTCTTGACAGACGAAGAAAGAACGGTCGATGGCGGCGACCAGCGCATTCCGTGGGAGCCACCTCGCAGTGGATACTTGGGCTCCAAGGTCAAGTATTTCCGCCGCCTGCAAAAGGACTGGGTGTCGTTGTCGCCTCCTACCAAGGCGGCCAAGCCTCCCAGTGTGTACCCACCACCACACGTCCTTCCACCTGCAGGTACTGTGCACCTCCTGTGGCCATCGCGCACATCCTTGACCAACCTCGTTCGTTAGCGTTTGTGCGGGGCGCGAGCGAAGAAAACCTGGCACCATTGGACAACCTTACGTCGTCGAAGCGCGCGTTCCAGAGCACATGGTCGACGGTGTTTTCCATATGGAACACCATGATTGGATCTACCTTGGTGGCTCTTCCCTACGGTTTTTCATGCAGTGGTAACAGACTGCAACATCCCGTACAACGACCTAAACGATGTCGTAGGCGTCCTACTCGGCATCGGCATTGTCATATTGGTAGGCGTCATTTGCTGCTACACGTGCAATTTGGTCGTACGGTATGGAAAGGTACTTGGAACCAATACGATTCGTTTAGCAACATAATACCTCGTCATCATCATCAACAACAACTCTGTTTATCCAGGACTTTTCCGACTTTGGCGACTTGATGCAGTACCATTTCGGCAAGCGCGCCCAGGCGGTGACCGTCAGCGTGTCCGTGTTTGTGCTTATGGGTGCTTGCATTGCGTACCACGTCCTCATGAAGCAGTGCGCCTTCACAGCCTTCCACGCCGCCTTCGACTGGCTCGGCGTCCACGTCCACTGGACACCGTCGGCCGCCGCCCTCTTCGTGTGCTTGCTGTTCCCACTTACCAACGTCAAGGAGTTTGCGACGCTCGTGCGATTCAACTCGTTGGGCATTCCATTTCTCCTCTTCACCATCGTCTTCATCACGTACCACGGCGTCCACGCTGTGGCCACGCACGCCCCCATGGACGACATCGCGTTCGGCGCCAAGTCGACCTTTGGCGTGCTCGGCGGCATCGTCACGCTGTCCTTCTTCATCCATAACGCCATCCAACCCATCATTCGGCACAGCAACCCAGCCAACTACGCGGTAACTAATACTAGTATATCATACTAGTGCGTGAAACGATGTAGAGAGATGTCACGGCGGCCTATGTGCTGGTGGGCATGAGCTACATCACGGTGGGTGTGTTGGGGTACATTGGGTTTCCAACCGGTGTCTCTATCCAACAAAACTTTCTGGACGCGTTTCCCGCCAAGTATGCGAATGATATATATCATTTTTGGGATATCGTTGAATATATCATTGTTGTGTTGATGGATACCTTGAGTAGGGACGTGTTTGCATTTGCGGCGCGCATGTCGCTGCTGTTGCAACTGGCGACGGTGTACCCGCTTTTCTTCGTCATCATCCGCACCCAAGTGTTTGGGCTGGTGTTTCAAAACACGTGGCCCAGTGCGTGGCGCGTCGTGCTGCTCAACTTGGGTATCATGGCCACAACCACCGCGTTTGCCGTGTATTACCCCCACGTGGGGGACATTTTGAGGTTCACGGGGGCTGCGGGGGGGCTCGTGCTTATTTTCGTCGCCCCTATCGGGCTCCACTGGAAGCAGCAACGGGCCCAGCGCCTGTGGACTAGGGGGTCCATGTTGGTGCATGTAGTGATTGTCCTCGTCGGCGTCACATTGCTAGTTTTGCAGTTTGTCTAAAAGTTAGTTAATAACAATCACATACTATTAGTTCATCTAGATTGTTGGAGCTTGAACGTGACAATGCTGAAAATAGATTGAGTCTCTCTCTCTCTCTCTCTATATATATATATATGACGGTGGCCACGGCGGTCGTGGATGCAAGGAGTAGCAGGGGTGATGGAGCAGCTACCAGGCCGACCACTGCAGATTGCGAAGCTACAGATGGCCCTCGGCACCAGAACGCGTTCGACGCGCTGCCTGATGACGCCAAAGATCATGCGATCCGAGGTATCAAGCTCCTGAAACAAGGCGACTTCCACAGCGGCATCGCGGCGCTCGAGGCTGCGATTGATGTGGGTAGATGTACTACTACGTTCATTCTGCGTAATGCTACAGCTTAGGTGGAGGGCGACAGTTGGATCCTGTGGAAGCACGTAGCCATTGCCCATTATGACCTGTGGAAACACGTGGCATCCGCCAAGGCGACTCTGGCTTCGACATCGTTCCTAACCAAACACAGCGGGGGCACAGCCGACCCCCTCGAGCGCTTTCTTCGGGTACTACACCTCAACTACCTCGTTGGACACTGATGAAACCCTAGACTGCCTACGATGTGTTTGTGGTGGCGATGGAGTACCGACAGAACAAGCACCATCCCGCCATGCTGTTGAAACTGGCGGTGCTGTACGTCGAGCTCGAGGCGTGGCAAGGAGCGCTGGCACTGTGCACGTTGGTTCTGGAAACCACCAAGTGGAACACGTTTAGCCAGTTCAACGAGGCCGTATTCTTGTCTGGCGCGGTGGCCATTGCGTTGCACCATGCCACCCAAAGCGGCGAGTACTTTGCCTACTTGGCCGAGAACCCTCCCCATAACTTGCGCTCATATCGCGTGCTGCTGTTGGCTGGTACGCATGATTCTTCTACTTTTCAATCGCTCCAAGCTGGGGAATTGACTCAAGGGATGGACGATTAGGTATGCAGTTGGACAGCCAGCCCGACTCCCCCGACGCCGTGGAAAGGGGCCGCGTGTTGTACGTCGAAGCGTACAACCGGCTCACGGGGGGCGTCCGGATTCCGTCGCCGACGCCATCGGAGGCCGCGGCCATGGAACTGTATCACACGTCTCACAAAAGCGAAAGTGAGCGCATCCAGCTCTGGCTAGCCGACCCCAACGTGTGGGACAGCTTTGGTATGGACCTCTTTGATACGAACCACCCGTTCCTGGCTTCGTTAACGTTCGAGTACGCGCTTCGACGGGGGGGCTGTCGGTCGGTCGAGACCCTCGTGACCATGGGGCGCGTCCACCACCGTCTCAAGCGCACGGACAAGGCCGAACTGGTCCTCGAGCAAGCGCTGCGCCTGGACTACTACGCCCACCCGACGCGGTTTTGGCTCGGCGTTGTCTCGTTTCGATGGAGCCAGCACTTCAAGCGGGAAGTTCGAGGCGCGGTCGCATTCCAGCGGGTATATCGAGGCCACTGCGGTCGATGCCGCGCCCATGTCCTACGAGTACGTTGCGTTTACTCGCTCTGTATTACAACTTGCGCACAACTTCACATTATTTTTTTCTAGCACCGTCGAGCGTGCGTATGGCTGGAGAAAGTTCGCAGTGTCAGTCGCATCTACCTCGTAGGCCGCACCGCCAAACGCGTTGTGGCGATTCGAAAAGCGGCCGAGTTGACCCGGGAAGCTGTCGCCAGAGATGCCATGCACGACGAGGACTGGTTCCTCGTATTTCTTCGGTGGAACGCCGCGGCTCGCTCCATCCAGTCACTCCTGCCAATCGCCCGCGCCAAACGCGACAAGATCGCTCGCCGTGCATGGCTCCATAAGCACAAGGCGCTTCTCAGACGCGTAGTCAGCCACTCCAATGACCGCCTCGTGCAAACGTGTTTTGCTGCCATAGTCGAGTTCGTGGTGGTCGCGCGTCAAGTCCAACACGACGCCGCCGTCCTCCTCCAGCGCGCCGCGCGCAAGTGGCTCGGACGCCGCCATCTCGCCCGACTCGCGGCCAAGCATGCCGAGCAGCAGAAATTGCTCGTCGTGTTCCTCGGCAAGGCCAACAAACGATGGAAAGCCGACTGCTTTTTTGCCTGGAGAACTTGCAGGGAGCGCACGAAAGTACTCCGACGCGCCAGTGCCCTCCGCATTCAGTGCGCCTACCGGTCGTTCAAAGCGCGCCAGGTGCTTCGTGCGAACATGGCGCGTCAAGTGCGGGTGCGGCAGTTCATGGCCCAGCTCGTCGTGTCTCGTGACGGGCTTTGCATGCGCAAGACGTTCCACGCCCTGGCAGTGTCCGCCCTTGCCGCCCGCCTGCACAAACACGCATGTGCGACTCGCATCCAAAAGATCATGCGGGGCCGATTCGCGCGCGCACTTGTAGTTCGCGTGCGCAAACGACATCGGCACTGCGAAGGCCTGGTTGCCACGGCCCTGGTGCAACGGGCGGGGAAATTCGTCGCGCAGCTGTGGACCACGTGGCAACTGTTTGTCCAGCTCGCACAACTCGAAAAACAGCTCGCTGCGACGCATATTCAACGCATGGAACGGGGCCGAGCGGCCCGCCGCCGCGTCCGGATTATGCGAGAGTACCTCCACGTGTACTTTGGCCAGTCAGGTAGTCGTCTTCTTCCACTACCCGGCAATAGGCAGCTTCGACTGGTGTTCGTGGGGCTGTGGAAGCACCGGAAGTTCCGCACCGAGCGCGAAGACAAGGCCACGCGGACCATCCAGCGAGCCGTCAGGCGGTGTCGCCACCGACGCCAAGCCCGCCACCTTCGAGAAAAGCTCAAGCGAAAGATGCAAGTCGCGACGATGTTTCAAAAGACGTTCCATGCCGCCGCCACCGCATTCTTTCACGTGCTCAAGGGGCTCTGTGATGCCAAACACGATAAGTTGGACGTAGCCGCGAGGGTGCTCCAGCGGAATCTGCGCGGGTGGCTGGCGCGGCGGGTGATGGCGCGCTTGGCCAAGCAACATCGCGCGGCCACAGCGCTGTTAGATCGTGTGATTCACCGGGAAGCGCGGGCGGGCATGGGCATGGTCCTGCGACTGTGGAAGGTACACATGTTCATGTTGATATTGCCCTGATGTGCTGTGGCTCACGTAGGCTGGCCTCGTCGTGTGCAGGGAGGTCAACCGCGGGGCATGCGTGACGATCCAGCGTCGGTTCCGCGCGCGCCGGGCGATAAAGGAGGCGCGGGTGAAGATGGACAAGCGGCGGCGGCAGCGGCAGCTCGTGGAGCGAGGGACGGGCAAACCGCTCGTCCGGTGCTTTCACATGTGGCAGAGTCGGGTGATCGAGTCCGCTGCCTCCACGTTCAACGCGAGCTTGACTGCCAAGCACACCAAGCAGTTCACGGCGTGGTCTTCTACGATTTCTTCAAGCGCAAGCGGTGGCGATTCGCAGGTTCGCTTCTTTGGCAATATCTAGATCAAAGGATGTGAATGGCCTTTCTGTGTGTAGCCGTCGTCCGTGCCGTCCATGCTGTTTTACCACGTGCTCACGAGAACTCGCCACACGGGGCTGTGTCAATTGCCCTTTTGGTTTGTGATCGCTATATATCGACATTGCCACTTTTCATGGTATTAATCCTGTTGTAGCCACGGCTTCGACCGCGCGCAGCTGCGCCAGCTGCTCCAATTGGCCACGTCCGTCCTTTCCGACGGACGGGCCTCGTCGTCATCTGACCTTCCACGTGGCAGCAGCGACGTGCTGGACACGCTGGCGTGGATGCCACAAAGCCCCGTTCAAAAGCTCATTCTATTCAACGAGCCGGCCATCGATGGCAGCCGGCTCGCGGCATGTCTCGACCGACCCAAGACACATCCGTTGGTGTCGGTGGTCGTGGGGGGCTCTGTGCTGCCGTCGCGCCACGTCATGGCCATCGCGCTCAGCTTGGCCCAACCGCATGCAAAACTACAGCAACTCGTGCTGGACTCGTGTCGTATCGGTACGACGTTTCTCAGCTACTTAGCTACTTGCATGGAAAACGTCACATGTTCGTAGGCAACACTGGCACCGTGCTGCTCGCGATGGGTCTCGCGCACAACAAAAGCGTGTGGAAAGTCGACTTGAGCGGCAACGGCATAGGAGATGTGGCGTGCCAAGCCCTCGGTGAACTGCTCCTGGCCAACGATACCCTCCAGGTTCGGTTGGTTTCCACCAATCTTATAACATATGGCGCACGTAGATTCTAGCGTTGAACCAGAACCACCTCTCCGACAATGCTGTGCTAAGCTACTTGGAACCAGCGCTGTTTAGCCTCCCGGCGGCATCGGCGCTTGCGGCTGTTTACTTGCACGGGAATCCCACACTTACCCGCCGGGGTCTCGACGCGCTGCAGTCGGCGGCAGCTTTCGTCAACCACCACGCTCATCGATCCGCGTCCAACACGTTGGTGATCGAAGGGGGGTGATACGCTACACTACACCTGGAGCATGCTTCAATTACTTTGGTCGTTCTGGGGGTGTTCTGGCTACTAGACTCGTCCTTGAGTATGTATGTGAGGTTCTATTAACTTAACAGCCGACACCATGTGTGAGTTCAAGACACTGGCTATGCCGTGCGTTTGGACAGCGCGACGGAAATCTTGAGGGATACCGTGAAGCCCGGCAGCATCGCGCCGTCCAGCTCCCGCACGGCGCGGTCGACGTCGGCCTGGTTCTTGAGCGCCACGAACCCAAAGCCCCGAGGGGTGATGCGGATGTAATCGTACGAAAAGTCGGCAAAGAGGCGCGCGAGGTCGCCGCGGGTCGCGTCGCTCGGCAAGTTGCCCACATACACGTCGAATTGGTTGCGGCCATCCGACGGATAACTAGACAACCACACATCCAACCCACGTCACACACATGTTTCAGCCACCACGTCGTCACACATGTCAATAAACAACATGCAGCCAAAACCACATATATATAAATATATACCCCAACAAGACTCTTTATCGAGATTGTCAGCTTCGAGTGATATGGAAACCCTGTGTATATATAGTAGTAGGTGTATGGACGGACCGAGGTGCGGCGGCGGCGGCGGTACTGCTGCTGCCAAACGAAGACGTCGAAGAGCGCGAGGGCGGTGCCGTGGGGGTCATGCTGTGGGCGGACGGAGCATGGGTGAGGGACGGGTGTTGGTGGGTCGACGTCATGTCCGTGTGGCCCCACCACACGTTGTGGATGCGCACGACCTCGGGGTTGCCGTACTCGTCCTTGACGGGCACTTGTAGCAGTAGGTTGTCGCCTTCGCGCAGCGGCATGCGATGCTTCAACTCTTCCACGAACATTTCGTCCAAATAGAGAAGGAATCCGCTCGACGTGATGGTGATGCGAAGCATGAACGCGCACGGCGCGGCTGACCCAAACACGAGCGGACACCGATGGACGATCTGCGGCGTGCCCCATCGTTGGTCCACGAAGCTGTTGAGGAGGATCTGCCCCCCCCGCATCTTGCGGGGGTTCAAATGACACACGATCGTGCCGTCGGAGGTCGCGATGTTGAGCACAAACCGACACGAGTGCGTCGGGATGAGGCCGTTCACGACGAGCGTGTTGTTCGTGCGGAACACGACGGCTGGAAGCGTCACGGAGAGGGGGTCGTCCTTCTCGGAGGACCATTCGTCGGTGCGCAGGAAGCTTTCGGGCGGGAGTTGGATGCCGCGGCCGTTGGAGAGGCGCATTTCGCCGGTGACAGTATTGACAGTCGAGGGTCCGTGCGACGAGGACGAGGATGGAAGGGGGTCGGAAGTGCTGGAGTGAAGACGTGGTCGTTTGATCGTCGATGGGGTAGCTGGGGATGCACCCGGTTTGAGCAGGTCGGCCAGCGGATTCGCGCGTTTGTTGGGTGCCGCTTGTTTCACCGTGGACTTGGTCAATGGATTGGACGACTGCTGCTTCGCCTTCGCCGCCATGACGGCTTTGACGCGATCGATCGCTGACAGGGACGAATTGGCTGCACTGCTACCGATGGTTGACAAACTGGATGAACGGGCGAGCGCGGCAGGTGCATGCGAATGGACATGTGCGTCATGGGACGACGACGACGCGTGGACATTGCTATCGCTGGACTTGGTCGTCTGGTGGTGAATCTTAGCGAGCTCTTGGTAGAGTTGATGCAGTTGAATCTCCTGGTGCGTGAGGAAGAGACCATCATGTGCCTGGAGTTGCTGGGTCGTCTCGCCACTATCGTCGCCGCCCATACTTTCTGCCGTGATTGAAAATGAGGGTTTCAAATCTCGTACTTGTAGACCCCATACATAATACAAGTGTCGATAATTGCCATATTATGAAGCTCAATACAAATATCAAGTCAAATGGGTAGGAATACAAATAAATAGTTTTAGTGACATTTCAGATTTATTTTTTCCCTGCCGCAGAATTCCACATGCAACTGACCGTGGGCTACGAAGATACGTTCATCCAGGTCGAAGTTGATGGACAGGACCAAGTGGAGAACATCAAGGCCCTCATTGAAGCGCAGGTACGTCACCAGCCTGTCGATGCCAATCACTTTGGCTGATGGATTCGTCCGTGTCCCAGCTTGGCATTCCACTAAGCACTCAAGTTCTTGTCTTGAACGGACGGCCCATCAACCCGAATAGTACGGTACGAACAATGTCCCCCTTCTTGCTGTGCATGGATAGATGCTGAGCATGCGTCGTACACATCAGGTCTCTCAAGCAGGCATTCAAAACCATGATCTCCTTCTGTGCACGACCCAGCAACCCCAACGCCCCCAAGTTGCCACCGCCGCAACATCACCATTCCTTGCACCTGCATCCACCCAAGCCCGAGCTGGGATGTTTATGCATGACATTCCGGTACGCATGTCGATCCTCCTTATGGGTACTCATGGTTCGTCGCTAGCCCAACTGTTCGGCCGAACTGCTCATTGAAATCATGCGTCTGAACCCTCAGTTGCTCCGCCAGGTCGCTTACCTTCACATCTTCCACACGTCATCATTTCGCTTGTGTGTATAGATCGAGGAGGGAAATCCTTCCTTGGCGCAGTCCCTCAAGGCGCACGACGTGGCGGTAGCCTCATGTCGCTCAACCCTATATGATCTCATGCATGTTTAGGGTGTGCGCATGGCGCTGATGAAGCAACACATGGACATCGCCGCGCGAAAGTACAAGCAAGACCAGGAAGCGCTCGAGCTGGAGCGCAATCCGTTCTCGGAGGAAGCGCAGGCCAAGATTGAGGAAGCCATCCGCCTCGGCAACGTCCAGCACAACATGGAGATCGCCATGGAAGAAATGCCCGAGGCCTTTGGACGCGTGCACATGCTGTACATATCCACCGTGGTGAACAACATGCCGGTCAAGGCCTTCGTCGACTCGGGCGCGCAATCCACGATCATGAGCTCGGTACGCCGACTACTCAATTGAGTCCTGAACTTTGACACTCGTTCCATATTGTGTGGGAGGAATGGCGTGTCCTGAAGCTCAATTGAGTCTTCAGTTGAGTTTGACGAATGATGGTAGAGCTGCGCCGAGCGATGTGGCATCATGCGATTGGTGGACCGTCGGTATGCTGGCCAGGTAAGATGAAGAGGTTTGACGGGCGTACTTTGTTAAGCTATGGTCGTCACGAGTTAACGGCGGCAGGCTGTGGGCGTGGGGACGGCCAAGATCATCGGCCGCGTACACATGGCGCCCCTCAAGATTGGCCGCGAGTTTTATAACTGTAGTTTTACGATCTTGGACCAACAGGTATTTATTTATACGTATTAATAGTAGTTGTTTGTCCAAATTGAGAGCTACAAATACGTTATTTGTAGGGCGTCGACTTTTTGTTTGGGCTGGACATGCTAAAGCGACACCAGGTGACGTTGATGGACTCATGGCTGGAGGCTGCGATGATGTTGAATACTAGTATGCTAATGTAGTGCTCCATCGACTTGCACCGGAATGCGCTCGTCCTTCGAGATGGTTCTGGCGAGCATCAAGTGCCCTTCCTCCCCGAACATGTACCTTATATGCGATACAAACAACGCTACGTTTGACACACGATGACGGGTAGGAAATTCCCATCACGGAGCGCTCGGAGCTCCCCCCTCCGCCCCCTTCTTCCCCGGCGTCCGCCCCTGCTCCTCCCCCCGCCGCCGCCCTTCCCCCGGCTGTCGTCGCCCCCGCTTCCCCTCCAAGCACGACACTGTCGCCGGACCAAGCTGCCAAAGTCCAGCAATTGGTCGACATGGGATTTCCAACCCCCCTAGTACGAAGTATTCGATGCGTTGTGACACTATTTCAATGCCACACCCACTCCACACTATTTCAAACCAACTTCACACTATTCTTAGGCGCAAGAAGTCCTGGCCTCATGCAACTGGAACGTCAACGTCGCCGCGGGCCTGTTGTTCGAGTCGTAGCTTCTGCCAGGATGTGGCGATTCCGTCGAAACACTTTAATGACAAGTCAACCCTTCCATTACGTTGCGTATCCAGAACTTCCTGTCAAAAGTGACCTAACTGAACCCTTCCATTACGTTGCGTGTCCAGAACTTCCTGCAAAAGTGACCTAACTGAACCCTTCCATTACGTTGCGCGTCACTTCAAGGATCCATCTACCCTTCATGGAAGGCTGCGACGAGGGTTTCCACGTGGCCAAACGGACAAAGCACAGACTCGGTATGGTCTCCAAAGAAGATGGGTTCCTCGTCGAACGTGGCGGCGACATACCATTCGTCCGCGGGGGTCTTCTTGGACCTCCATAGCTCGAACACGATCATGGACCCGTACGACGGCATGAGGTGGGCCACGCCTGGCTTGCGCAGCTGCAGCGCCACGAGCAGTGCCGTGAGCGTGTCGTCGTGGCCAGAGAGCACCGTCAACTTGTGCGAGCTCGCGCCCTACATGCATTATGGTTAGGAGTACGTTATTGAAGGGTGCAACCAACCTGCTTGGCCGTGTGAAGGTATCCCATGACTTCGTGGACGCCGCCGCCAAATGCGTCCTTGAGAAACGGCTTGTTGCCGAGCGTGGCGTGCCATTCCCATGCATTGTGTTCGATGGTTTTGTCTAGGACGGTGTCAGTGAGGCCGGCAGGGAACGGGAACGCGTGCGCTTTGCGACACACGAGGATTTCTCGCACTAGCAACCACAGGAAGGTCAAGGAGAAGGTAGAGAGAGAGGCATGATGCATGTGAGGTTGGAGAGAGTCGTACGAAAGGACCATTTGACGTCTTCGCCTTCGTCGAGGCCGGCGGCATCTTGCACGAGCCGCTCGAGGTCGTCGATGTCTTTGACTGGAGACTCGTGGCGCCGGCTCTTCAACTTAGTGCTCATGTTGAAGTAATCCATCTGCTTGCCCATGGACAAGCGGCAGTTCTCGTCCAAGTGGATGAAAATGTCGTCCGAAAGCAAGTGCTCGGGGAACATGCCGTACAAAACAGACTGCGCGGATCGAATCGTGCGGGGAACGTTCGTCGACCGCACGTACAGGTCGTCGGGCGTCGCGTCCGCCAAGAAGGTCGCGTACTTTGCGCGCATCGCCTTTCCATGCGCGATCATTTGCTCCGACCCAAGCTGCGTCAAGTATCCGCTCGGCCACCCACCGCCGATGATGAGGCCGTTCGTGGGTGGTGGAGCATCTCGCGTCAGCCCCGCCGTCTTGGCCATCTTGTCTAGCACCGCTTCGTGCTCGGAAGTCACCAAGCGGTCGGCCCAGAATGCTTTTTCCTTGTCGTCCATGACGATGTTCTTACCCATTCGCGGTAGCACGGGAGATCTGTCGCCATGGCGAAACACCAACATGACGTGGCACAGCTCGAGATCATCCGACGACATGATGCGGGAAGTCGTCGATCAAATGTGGCACTGGGCTTTCGGGAATTAATGCAAATCATAAGCTAATTGAACTTTATTTGCCTGGAAAAATTCGACTTTGCATCAAAAGTGATATTTTGAATTGACATAAACGCCGAAATCCATGGAAAATATATCCATATTTTTAACAAAATACCGACATTTCATTGGCCCAATTTAGGAAAATGACTGGATTGGATTGGCTAGCTCAAATCGGAGAACCTTTGTACAATCAAGCATGGGCGGCGGGCTCAAGTTCCTCAACCTCAAGGGATGGCATCCGTCGAACAAGCAGAACCAAAAGAAGATTTGGATTGCCGAGCAACGGCATAAAGCCAAGGAAGAGTCCGAGAAGGATGCCGCGCGGGAAGTGCTCAAGGACAACGAATTGCTGCGGTTCCAACAGGTCACCATCTGCTTTCCCCATTCATTTGTACTTACATGATCGTCGACTAGGTAGCGGCGACACGAGGAGACGTAGATGCTAGCCGACGCATTGACTCGCAAAAAGTGTCGTTTCTATATCAACCTCCGCCAGGCCTAAAGAAGGTCGACGACAAGCGCGGAGGAGATACGGACGAGTTGGAGAACGAAGATGACGCGGTCAAGGCGTTTCGACTCAAGATGGAAAAGAAAAACGCTGGCAAGGATCACCAGTCCTACCAGCGCCCCCTCGAGAAGTTGATCGGGCGGCGAGCCAACGACCCCGTGACGATCAAGGATCAAGTTGGTATGTCCGACGTCATTTTGAACCCTCCCAGGCGCAACGTCGAACGAGTGAATCGTTCGTTGTAGAGCGATTCCCCATGCTCAAGGACGCCCCCGTCGAAGGCGAGTACACGCAGAACATCAAAGTGAACTTTCAACCTGTGGGCATGAAGCTGCGGAACGTCCGGTGTGCGCGGTGTCAAGTATGGGGCCATCAAAGCGGCGACCGGGAATGCGAAATGCGCGATCAGAACCCCAATGGTACGGACATGACACGTTAGCATATATTGGGTTGTTGATCACGTCACTCCCCTTGGTTTGCAGATGCATTTCGCCAAAACATCGAAGACCCCATGTCATCCATCAACCAAGTACGTAGGTTCGCATGATGATAGATGATGATGCTTTCTCTCCATGTAAGTTGTTCCTCATTGCACCATCAGATGCGACAGAGCAACTTGACGTTGAAAAAGTCTGCGATGCCGTTGGAAATGGTATGACATGACATTCCCTCGATCACGTCATCTATCATGTTGAAGTCATCGTGACATGTTGCAGCAATCTCGCGACGCAACAGAGTACGCCATGGTACCCACGGACGAAGGTACATACAGTAACCAACCTTCCACCTACATGATCACGTCATCATACATGATCACGTGATCATCGAGATACAAATCCCGTAGACGAGTCGGACGACCCAGAACGTAAGTACCTTGCGTCCTTGTCCACTAAAGAGAAGAAGCAACTGCTCAAGAAACTCAAGCGCGAGTCCAACGAGTAAGCAGATGACCCCCTGCAACCACTACCCATATCCGTGCAACTAGACTGATGGTATATTGACCACCTGAATCGGTAGAGCGTCGTCTCCAAAGGCATCCAAGAAGCGAAAGCATCACGAGAACAAGAAGAAATCGTCGAAAAAGAAGAGCCGCAAACACGACAAGGACGAGTAACGAGGCTAATGTACTACACACACAAATCGATTCGAATGGACGGGGGAGGCGACCAGATGCATCGGGTCTATCGAGGCCTTGGTGCTGCCAAATGGATTCTCGGCAATGTCGATGCGCCGACCGGCGGTCTCGAGGACGCGGACATCGCGCTGCAGATCTTCGTCGCTAAAGGATGTGAGGAGGATCGGACGGTGAGACTCGAGGACCCGCGCGAGGGTGGGCCGCCACTGGGAGCGCAGCGCGGGATGGCCGAGGCCAGGGTTGAACAGGACAAACGCATGCGGAGATGGCAGGTCGAGGTCGTGATAGAGTCCGTTGTGAAACGACAGGTTCAATGAGGAGGATGGCGGGGAAGGAGGAGTCGAGCGCATCACGGGCACGTGGTTGCCGATGAGGGAAATGTCAAGTCGCCACGGATGCAATGGGGTCCAGAGGTGGCGCGGCATGGTGGCTTCAGCTCGCGCGCCAAGAATGTACACGCGATGTGCTGCGTCAATGGAAGAAGAGATGGAAGGAAGCAAAGCTAAGGACGATTGAGTGTGAGTGTGGGAATGGAGTCGTAGTGGATGCATAGACATACCTGGCAAATAGTGGCGAAGGGTCATAGGATACGAGTACGCGGCGGAAATCAACCGAGTGACGGCAGGGTCATGGGCCAGATGCGAAGAAACGCCAGCATCGGCAAGCATGTCGGCCCATGATGTCGTGGACGAGGGCAGCGCTTGCGTTTCCACTGAAATCATCATACATGTGAGGGAAAAGCGACATGGAGAAGGATGGATGTACACTGATGAAACAAAGCACGCACGTCCGGAGACCTAGCGCACTCCAAGTCGTCCTTCAGTGTGAGAAGACGCGCGTGAGTGTCGGCGTGGTCGGTGGCCAAAGTGGACTCGCATGTGGCCGAGCAGGTAAGGACATGGCCAGCCTTCATTTGGCCGCATACTGGGCACGGGAAGTTCCATGCATTCAATGGTGCCGCATCTTTGCTCATACAGCGTCGTTCCAAGATGGAGAGGGCACTCCATCGCCGCCGCGACGGCACAGCCTTCCGCCACATCGTTGTCAAAAATTGCATGTTCAAAAACTGCAGATATTTTAATCATTTTATTCCATTTAAAATTTTGCATCGACTCCAACACTTCAGCGATGGAGATTGCGAGCGACGATGTCATCCGCCTCATGCAGCAGTTCCTTCGTGAACACAAGCTTTTCGACACCCTGCACTCGTTGCAACAAGAGTCCCAAGTAACGCTGCAGGCGGTGGACTCGGTGGACGCGTTGGCCCATGACATCTCCCTCGGCAAGTGGGACCAAGTGCTCACGCAGACCCAGCACTTGCACCTGTCCACGTCGTTCATGATCGACCTATTCGAGCAGGTTGTGTTGGAACTGACCGAAGCGAACGAAGGCTCCATCGCCCTGGAACTCCTCCGTCAAGCGCCGCCGCTTCTGGCACTGCAAGAGCGCGACATCACGCGGTATGGCCACCTGGAGCGCATCACGCGGCTGCCGTCGTTCGACGCGCGCTTCGCGTACAGCGGCATTCCCAAGGAAAAGCGCCGGGAAGAACTGGCGAAGAAAGTGCGCAAGTACGTGACGTCCGTGCCGCCGTCGCGCCTGCTCACGCTGCTGGGCCAAGCGCTCAAGTACCAGCAACTCACGGGGGTGTTGCCGGACGAGCTCGACTTGTTCCAGAACGCGCCCAAGCGGCTCAAAGTTGACCGCACCGAAGAAAGCATCTCGAAACCAAGCGGCAAGATCAAGTTTGGCAAGGCGTCGACGCCGCAAACGGCGCAGTTCTCCGTGGACGGCCGCATGTTGGTGTCTGGGACCAAGGACGGGTTCGTCGAGGCATGGGACATCGACAAGTGTGCGCTTCGCAAGGACTTGGAGTACCAAGCTCGAGTATACGCGTTTTCACAGTTCCGCCATGGAGGTGGCATTCTCATGGCCAAACGTAGGAAGAGTTCATGATGCACGACGACAGCGTGACTGCCCAAGCGTTCAGTCGCGACGGGGAACTGCTGGCCACGGCCACCGCCGAAGGCAAAGTCAAAGTGTGGAAGTTGGCTACGGGGCAATGTTTACGCCGGTTCGAACACGCACACAGCCACAGCATCCATAGCATTTGCTTTTCCAAGGACGGATCGCAGCTGCTCACGGCGTCCTTTGACCAGCTTGTTCGGTGCGGATACCATCTGCCGTCATATCGTTCGTTTGGTCAGTCGTTGACATGCGCTGTCGTTGGCTCGTAGATTGCACGGGCTCAAATCTGGCCAAATGCTCAAGGAATTCCGCGGCCACGACAACTACGTCAACTTTGCCACGTTTAGCCCTGACATGACGCGGGTGCTGTCCACTTCGGCCGACGGCACCATCAAGGTACGTACATACACTGCCTCTCCCCACTAGTACCTCGTATGTATGCGAGTACTAGTAGTACTACTAGTCCCCCCCCCTTGCATCAAAATTCTACTCCCCTAGATCTGGGACGTCAAGAGCGCCGAGTGCCTCAGTACATTGCGCCCCCCTCACGCCCCCCCTGGCATGGAAATCGACGTTCTGGCGGCCGTCCCGCTGCCGCACAAACCGACCCATGTGGTGGTCGTCACGCGCTCCAAGGTGATGCACGTGCTGTCATGGCAAGGCGAGTTTACCGACACCACATACACCGACCCATATGGCGATGTGGAAGCCAAGGGCGAGTTTGCGGCGGCGGTGACGAGTCCGCAGGGAAAGTTCCTGTACGCGCTCACAGACAAGGGCTACGTGGTGTGCTTCAAGACGGACACGGGCGTGCTAGACCACGCCATGCAGGTGTGCACTGGCACCGTTCACGGTATCGCACACCATCCGCATCGCAACGTGCTGGCCACGTACGGTAGTGACGGCTACGTTCGTGTGTGGAAGGCATAGATGAATACACAAAACCTCATCGCAGGACAAGTACTAGTAGTTAATTGGAGATCACGACGAGGGGATTGCTTGGTGGTTGACGATCCACTACAGTGAGAACGATTGGGATCAAGTGATGGAGTACACGCATTATAAAGACGTACGTGGTTGAGGAGGCCCTGGGGAAGGATGTTGCGGGGGTTGCGACGGAAGGTGATGGTTCAATGGCGACGGGACTCGATTGACTGAAAGGTGCGATGGCTACAGGTACCGCACTTTGAACGTGAATCGAACATGGATGTGGGATGGGCCGTACACGCGGAGTGGAAGGATCGAGTGGTAGACCGACGAGGCTGTGTTCGGACTGCGCGTCGTCGTCATTGCGGTCGACTGTTCGGACTATGCTGTGAGAATTGGTTAGATGTGAAAATGATCGCGTACGCAGAGGGGGTCGTGGTGGTTGATGCTGCTCTTCCGTGGGATGTTTGGAATCTTGGAGAGCAGTGAGGATGCTGTAGAGCAGGGGAACTTGGGTATACCGAGGGTCCTCGGTAACTAGGCACGAGCATATCAGATTGCAATATATGCAGGAGAGATGGATGTACTGTTGAGTTCGTGCGCGAGGAACCGCCGATGGAATGGTTTTTCCACGGGTTGGCCGGATTCAGGCACAAACACAGACAACGCATGGCGGTAGCCGTTGTATTCCATGTACTCTCGAATGAGTTCATTGATGATCAAGTTTTCGTTGGACAACTTTGCCTTGGGCGCGCCCTATTTGTTGGTTTTCCATGTCAATGCCAATGACGACACACAACGATGATGCACCTCGTCCAGCGCTTGAAAGATCTCTGCTCGAATGCGAGCTCGGATCTGCCCCATCGAGCCTCGGGCTTCGAGGGTATCCTTCAGAGCTACGTAGCTATAATCAGCTCTCCTGAACAACCCCCATCATATATCCCCGACCATCTTTCAAGTCCGACAAGGACAGTGTTCCGTCCATGATTGCCTTTTGATATTGCTGCTTCGAAATTTGAGCACGTCTTTATTTTATCCGGAAGATGCATCCGGTTATATCGAAATCACAAGAACTCTGAGCGCAACTCGATGCACAGCGTGCAACTCTTCTTCACATACACCGCCTGCATGCTATCCCTCGAGGTGGCGACATCCCATGGCAGATGCAATTCCAGCAGGTACATGCTAGGCACTATGACTCGGAGCGTTCTCTTCGACAAGTCAAGTTGCAGGTCTTGAGCACTCTCCATTCGTGGCATTGATACAGTGATCCGCATGTCGGTCTTGGCAGCGTTAGACATGATCGTGTATTCAGGCTGGGTAATGTCGTGGTTGAATTGATTGCCAGCGGCATCGCTCACGACAACTTTGCTCATGGCCTGTGTCACTGTCGACAGATCCTTGTCCGATGTACGAGCTAGGCCAACAACCGCCTGCTTCGCCGGGCTTGGCATCGCTTGGTTGTCCGGACCATGCAACTTCTGCAGCAGCTTGCTTCGTGCTGCTTGATCCTTTGAGAGTATCATCCCCAGGAAGAAGTGGCGACCAAGGCGGTCCTCATAATGCAAGTTGAGGACTTGGTCCAATCGAGCGTTGAGCCCCATTACGTCGCCGTGCTTTAGATTGTGTCTGCGTGACGAGTCAGCGCCTTGAATAACGTAGAGGAAGCTGTTCGCTCGGGACCAAGCAGACTCTTTCTTGCCTTCTTCATGGAGATGCGAGGCTGCCGAGAATGGGTTTTCCTTGGGCAGCAGGACCATATTGGCCCCCACCACACGAGACTGAATCGCAAACTCTCCGTTTAAGTCTACCGAGATGTTACCGTTCATGTTCTGTATATATATAGGGGCATGCATGCCTTGCAATAGTATGTGCTTTGCATAACATTAGTAGTACCTGCATAGTCGTTTGCACATGCAAAAATGCTCGGAATGCCCGAGTCTGCGATAGCAACTAAGTCAGGCAGCCAACTCCAGAGCAAATCGTATCGGTTCGACTCTACAAAATTGCCAAACCCGGTGTTGTACCCCACAAGCACAGAGTTGTGGGCTGTGAGGGCGGGATGGCCTGCCAAGAACGCCCCTGCCGTGCCCTGGACAAAGTGCACATTCAACGGCGACGCCTTGGAGGTTGGATCTCGCGTACTGTCAACTTCAGGCCCCACAAACCACAGCGTGATTTGAAACTCTACTCGCCAGCGTCGTTTGAATTCCCAGTAAAGTGAACGATGGTTCATACCTGGAAAGAACGCGGCAACCTCGTCCCAGTACGACGTGATATGGAAGATTCGCTGCTCGGCTTTCACTGTCGCCCCCACCACCACCACATGACGGCGCTCTTGGTCGTTGGAAGTACTACGGGCAATGAGCCCCAACGTCTTAGCGGCATAAACAAATGTCATTGGAAACGACAGAGCGTCGAGAAAAGACGGGTCTTGGGTTGCCATTGGCACGAGATTGTGGGCGGTGTGACACTTGGTCAAATAACCTTGCCAGCCACTTTCCAAAGGTTCGGTTGGGATGCCAGAACCATGGAGGGGTCGAGGGGGGAGACTGGGGAAAGCCTTGCTGTCCGTCCACCGAAAGGTCCCGCTGTAGAGACCTGCGGGGGGTGAATGGATTCGTGTCAGGATGGTGAAACAGTTCGAGGACGCATCATGGTACCGTCGCCGCGCTGGTCCAACTGCATCTCGGCACCTCCGCCGCCACCAGATGTCATTCGCTTCGTCGGATTGGCTTCCTTTCGGTTGGCCAGTTTCTTGCCCATGCTGGTTTAGATTTGGCGAACTTGCGAATGGAATGATATTGGAAGGAATGCTGCTTGGCATTTTTCGCCCTTGTGGATGGAACAATAAGAAACTTCCAAAAATGGAGGATTCATTGGCAATGAACTGGCAAGGCCATGAGCACACTGCATACCAGTACATCGCCTCCTGCGAGACTCGAGGCAATCCTGGTACCGGTAATGTGATGTCATGTACAGTAACGTTACCGCGGAGATACATGTTGTAACCACGTGAAGAACATACTGCATTACGGGAGTCAATCATTTCGTAGTATAAGCTTACGACTAATACTAGTACCAGTAATACATACTACCGGTAGTAGTACGAAGTAAGAATAGACTTGGTTACTCGGAGTAACAGTTAGTATGATTCAGGCAGGTGAGAGAGTCTATCTCTCACCCAGAACTTCAAGTTAATCATAACTGATATGGTGTACTTATTTTTATTCTTATTCACTGTTAGTCCACATGATATAATCTCTCACCTGGGATAAGCCAATCAAACGTCAGCCTAGTGGACTCTGATTGGTGCATCGTTTGTTTAACCCAATTCGAATATATATTCGCCAATCAAACGTAGTACTGTGAGTTCTAATTGGCTTAGGCCTAGGTGAGAAAATCATAAAAGCTCCCGTCGATTAGGGTTAACTGATATTATCAAACCAGCAATCTTGGGACAGAGTTGTACTGTAATAACTAGTTACAGGGTCTCTGTAACGTTAGTGCGTTGTACAGTACTACATTGTTATGCCGCGGAGGCGAGATTAATCGCCGAAGAGGGAGACCTCTCTAATGATGGAGCCGGTAGAATTCGATGGCGTCGTTAAACATCACGCTGGTTGAAGTCGGTTGTCAGACCAGCAGTTTCTCTTGAAATATTTAAATAAAGAGGAAGGCTAAATTCTATCCTCTGCTTGGATCACCGATATACACTTGGATATGCAAATCATCCTTCGAACGAATTTTGCTCACATTCGGACAAGTCCGTGGTGAATCACAGCGAGATGTAGGCGGCAACCACGGGAAATTCCGTTCAGGTGTCCCCACGTCGCTTGGGTTCTGTGACCAGGAACTCCACCGCAACTCAACGTGGCTCTTACGTTCGAGAACTTACACCGCTGTACTCCTCCCAACTTATCATTCGATATCTGAAGCGATTCAAACATCACCTGCGTTGGCCCATGGAATTCAACTGCCCTTGCGCTATGCTGCTGAAATTTTGTTCGTTATCAGCTTTTTCGGGCAATCAATTGAGGCCCAACCACCACCTTATTCCAACAGCGAGGTTCCGAATAATTCCCTCATTTACAAAAGTCCCACTTTTGATTTGGCCCGACTTGCGTAGCCCTGTAACCGGGGACTCCGTCCTACCCCCGACGAGAGTACATACGATGCTAAATCCCGTGGTTTAGCTGCGGCACCAGTGGTTAGCTATCACCTAACAACTGAGATGCACTTGACCCCTAGAAAGCTGTGAGGTGGTCCGAGCATACAAAGTTGCATATAAACACTGAATTTTGCTGGGATTTCTGAGAAAACCACAGTGGTACTGTAGTACTGAGGGAATTGTACTGAGATTTCCCCTTCTGTGCAGATACACTTGGAGTTTGTATCCCACCAACCACCCTCTCCCGTGTACCTGGTACAACTGGGTGTGTACTGTACGCAATTCACTGTTAACAACATTGGCCCAACTACGCGCATCAGTGAATCAAACCCCCCACTCAAACCACAATAACGTTATGATTCCCTTATCTTTTATCATCCTCTGCATGTCCCTATCATACCAGCTCTTGATCTCCTGTTCGCACTGTTTGAAGTATCAAAGCGTTACGTCGGTTGGGGGGTTGCGTGTCTTTTTTTTATCAGCATACAAACATCGAGTGTAACGTGTGAAATAGTAGTCGATCGACCAACTTCGAATTCTAGCCAATCCCGAGCGTTGTGAGAAAGAGCTAGCTATTTTTACACACTTCTTCGGGTGTTGCTTCGACGGATGTATAGTAATGGCCGGGCGACTCGACCGGCCGCATTTCCCATCGAGGTGAGTAACTCGATCCGTGTAGCAACGCCGTCGACAGCGGATGCCCCACGACAGTGTGAATCCCAATCCCACCGAGTTGTTACGTGACTCGGCGGTATACAGCTCTAATCGGAGCCTTCCTCGTGACAGCTCCATGCACCGCTCGCTCCCTCGATCCAACTCCGCGCGTGCCTCGTTTTCATCCAACAACATCGGACCAGGTCTCGCCAACTACTCCAAGCTGAGTTTTTCAATGACTTACAAGAACCGACAGTCCACAGTCTACCTCGACGATTCACAAGCAGCGCGGGACAACAGCAACAACAACAGCTTCGTAGGCGGGTGCAGGGAGTCCCAACTCCTCGACGACAAGTGTCGTATGACCACCATGAGCTCCGCCAGTGCCGCGAGCACATATTGCAGCAGCCGTGATAGTAGCACGAGCACGATGAACCAGCAGCTCGCGTCGCTTGCAGCGCCTGTCCCGCGACCGCTCGAGAAACAAAAGTCGTTTGCAAACTCTCCCATCAACACGATTCAAGAAGACAGCGACGTGTCCGAGGTCGAGATCGCCGCCATGCAGGCCAAGCGCGCCCTCCGACGCATGTGTCTGTCCCTTGCGACCCTCAACCAGAGCGGCGAGGACAACGTGCTCATGGACGACGACGATGACGATGATGCCGAAAGCGCCACCAGCAGCACCACGAGTTTGACGTTTCCTCTGCGGTATAGCGACGAAGACGAGGACGACCACCTCCTTCATCCCCACGTCGGATCGAAGGAACCCAAGCAGAAAAAGCCGCGACTGGACAGCGACTTGCTCACAATCTCCCGCGCCGACTTGCACCAACTGCAATCGCGGCTGCAAACGCTCGAGCTCAAGCTGGCGGACCAAGCGACCAAGCAGGCCGATCTGGAGGCGCACATCGAGCGAGAAGTGAGCAAGCGCACCAAGCACCTGGAAGGCCAGTACGACGCCAAGATGCAAGACCTGGTCATGGCGCGGGAGTTTGAAGTGGATCAAGAGATTCAACGACGGCTGTCCGAGTTCTCGTCCCAGGAGAAAGCGAGGCGGTCTAAGGCGGGCAAACCGGTGCGGAAGGCCCTCCTCATGCGCGCGTCGACGTCCATGTCCGACATATTTCGGGGCACCACGACCAACGGGTCCGACTTGGACCAGTTCCGGGAGTACTTGATGACCAACTCCAAGCGCATGAGCGACCGACTGAGCCGGTCCACGGTCTTTCGAGACACGAGCCTCGACTCGGATCTGGACGACAGCAACAACGGAGACGCACTGGTAGAGACGATTCAGAAGCTCCGAACAGTCGTGCAAGACCAGGAGAGTCAGCTAGAGCAAGCGAAATATTTAATCAGCGTCGCCGCAGTCAAGATGACTGTCACGGAGGACGTCGTTCAGGACGCATGGGAAGAGATGGGCAAGCTCGATATGAAACTGGAGCGCCAGGCCCAGGAACTGGCCGACCTGCGGCGGTATTCCAGCACATCGAGCCATCACCACCCCGCCACTAGCTTTACGTCGTCGTCCACCAGCCTCAGCATGGGTAGTGCACCCCCGTTGCGGGCGTCTGGGCGGCAGCATCAGCGAACTAGTTAGAGCCCCATGAGATGTCGTAATACAAGACCACACTCACAACTCAAAGATCGATCGATCGTTCGTACAGTATGTGTATCTGTGTGGTGTCTAAACCAAATGAGATACGTATCAAGAATATGATATATATCGTTCAATCCGACAAAGTCGTTGAGCGTTGTCACAGTGCAAGTCGAGCAGCTTGTTGGCCGTAGTACGGACGAACGTACACTGTATACTCGAGCAGCTTGTTGGCCGTAGTACGGACGAACGTACACTGTATACAAAGGTGATTCATGTAATTCCTGGCCAGCTTGGTCTACTTTTTGAGTGCCATAACTCGTCACCCATTCATCTGATGAGGCTGCAAAAACATGCATTTTGAAGATCGTGACGAGCTTTATAACTTTATGCAGGTCCCATCATTTGTATATTTGCTCGTCGAATTTCTAAAATTGAAATTTCCCTGTGTGAATTTAATTCCCGGCCAGTAAGTCACTTGATCCTCAGAACCTCTTAATAATAATATGTATAAAGTATTCGGCAAGTAATATTAAGTGCAACTAGTATAAAAACTGTATTACGTGTCGGACAAGCATAATATTAAATCTTACAAGTATGTGATACAGGAGTACGTAATTTTGTCCAATCATCGTCGATGGATGATTGTGATTGGCCATTTGCTGGTCGGGAATTGCATGCTGGCCGGGAATTACATGAATCACCTTATTGTCACACTGTCAAATCGATTCGAAACTGGACAATCGAATGTCGGAAGTGAATCGATTAAAGAACCGCTTGAGCCAATCAAATCACTTCATGTCGAATTTCTGCCAATCCAAACGTTTGAACCCCAAAAACCTACATATATACTACTCGTTGTATAGTATAGTAGGTTGCAAAACGAGTTCGTCACTTCTATCGTGAAAGTATAGGTGGACCAGGATTATTCAAAGAGTCTCACTGAAACAATTATTGACGAAGTAGTTGCCAAATTTCCGAAATCTGTTACAATCTGATGTAGAGGGGAGCATTTCGGGTATTTGCTTCGTGGTTCCAGGTGTTGGAATAAAAATACGCCTCGACGATGAATAAAAATGAGTTTCAAATGGATACAAATCACGTTAAACATAGCAAAAACCGTGGTTTTTAGGTATAAAACGGATTAAAACAAGAGTAATCGGGTAAAAGGTGTCCAAAAAGTTATACCTTTTATCCATCAAATACCCGTCTAAAACCCTTATAGATGTGATTAACAATAGGATCATATAGATTCACAGTAGGTCACCAGTTCATTTACGCATTAGGCAGTTATTTCCTTGGACTCAGCGATTGAATAAGTATATGTGCTCCTGATAATATATCGAGTCTTGACTGTTGGTTCATGTAATTGAGAATTCACAAATGTACTGACGAATGACATCCATATTTCCGAAATGACGGGCGTACTGATCATATTCGAATAACTCGTCAGTAACATCCATGCTGAATTATATAAAGCAATGCTACTACGTAGTAATTTATACTATTAATAGTACTTGTATTCTACCAATCACAACCATTATTAGCCACCTATATTCTACCAATCACAGCCATTGTTAGCCATCTCTAGACAACCAATCTAATCCATTGTCAGCCATCTATATAGAGCCAATCAAAACCATTCTCAGCCCCCTATATACAGCCAATCAAAACCATTTTCAGCCAACTATATTCAGCCAATCAAACCTATTGTCCGCCATGTATATACAACCAATCACAACCAAGAACTAGACTCACACTAGAGAGTACTGATTTCCCTCGCTCTTTGAAACGGGTCAAATTGAATAATTTTTGTAAACTTATAAATATCGAAACTGGAGGTGAATTCGAAAATTCAAAGCTCACATGCATGTTGGAGCAAGTTTTGGGTTAGCATTTCAAAACATGAAGTTGCGCATGACCTTGGCCGAAAAGCACGAACTTTATGCTCATCACATGCAACATCCAGTTGCTACGTACACTGAGCTGGCGGCCTGGGCTGCTCAAAAGTATGCCCTTGTACCCACACCATCAAAGGCAACAATTGGACGTGCAATTAAACAACACTCTACACTAAGCTACCCTTCCGATTTTTGATGGATGGCCGTCAGGACAGATTGTATGAGGTACCTCTGGTGGACGCCATGGCGTGGGCCAAGGATGCATGGCTCTCTGTGTCACGGTCAACTGTTGTGAACTGCTGGAACCGTACTGGCATTCTCGACACCGACCTGTCGTCGTTTAGCGAGCACGTGTCAGCCATGCAATTGAATAGCTAGGATACTCCATAAATTAATATTGTTTTCACTTTATATTTTGGTACTCTCCAAAACTAACTTGTTCATAATCAGGCGTTTCAAAGAGGGAGGGAAATCAGTATTCGCAACGTCGTTTCTTTTTTCAAATTGACAATTCATTCGGCGAATTTCAATTGGAAATTTCCACACTTTTCAAGTATTCGCAAAGTAGAAAGTTCGGATACATCAACGACAACCGGATACACATTCTCGGAAATGGTGGTGGCTCCGCGGTTGTCGGACGAGCAAGCCATAGTGGTCCTTGCTCGCGTATACCACTCAACTCCCAAGCTCAGGCACTTTCTACGCACTGTCCAATTCCTCCATGAGCATAACTATCTGCGCCTCCGACTTCAGCATCCAGTGATCAATCACGCCAACGCATTTTCCGATACTATGGACGACGCAACCTCCCGGTTCCTCTACCGATTCACCGTACCGCAACTACGTGTGTTGTGTGTGGCATTGCACCTGCCCAGTACCGTTATGACGTCGTCAAGGGATTATGTCCCGTGCATCGAAGCCCTGGCCATGACGTGTCGCCGGCTGGCAGAACCGTGTCGAATGTACCACGTTGCAATCGAGTTTGGTCGATCATCGGGGGCAGTATCCCGGATTGTCAAAACAGTTGTGGCATTCCTTTATACGAGGTACTCCAAATTGGATTATCTCAATGAGGCTGTTTTGCGTCAACGCTATCAACGTTACGCTGGCGTCATCAATGCTGCTGGAGCACCCCTTGCTACGTGCGTTGGATTTATTGATGGCACCCGACATTACATTAGCCGTCCCAGCTCGCGGTTCAGCCGTGTCGCATACGAAAACCTCCAACGCGCTTGTTACAATGGCCACCCGCGTCGCCATTGTTTGAACTGACAGGCCATCACAGCCCCCGATGGACTACCGTATTCCCCACCTACCAGTACCCATCATTTCGTCTGGTCTAGTAGTACCCAATTTCAAAGCTGAGCCATTGTAGAACGTTTTATAGAATCCCCACGAGGCTGTACCCGTCTAAGATTTTATTGGTTGGTTTATAGCACCAGTAAAATTACCTCAAGAGTGTTTGTGTGCGCGTCGATTCATGGAGCTGAAGGCTGTCGACATCATGGGTGTGTCGAGCGGTGAAGGGGCCCGCTCATGTACCTGCCATGACATTTGTGGGGATAGCCTTACAGTCGACGACCTGGTTGTTTGCCGCCTTGAGGTATGAGGCGAAAGTTGGAACCTGGAAGAGGTTCTCAAGTTGTTCCGCCTTGTTGCCAGCGAGCAAGCATGCCACGTCGGCTTCCTCCCTTTGCACTTGCTGAAGAAGTAAGAAGACTTTGCGAACAAGATTGCCATCATTGTAGAGGACTACCGCACCTCCCCGAGCAAATACCAGCGGCAACGCTCCGAACGAAACGCTGGTATTGTTAAAGCCGTCCTTATGGAACACCTCCAGGAGTATCATCAAACCAGTAGACAGTAGATCGTTGTGTATATACATATTCTACACTACATATCCATAACCGCACTTGCGCCACGCGTTGAGAATTGTTTCCACAGTAATTTCTGACCACGCGTTTCTGATGGAAGGAAGGATCGATGCTCAATGCCTTGACAATGAGCATTTTCGTACTCACAGCGATGTCTTCGTCGCGCAGGGACTTGCAGTAGGTCAGCACTTCGGCTTCGACCAGAGGCTTTGACACGCCAAGGCCTTTTCCTACTGTCAACGCGGCGATTTGGCTGCTGCTGCTTTCAAACAGGCCAAGTTCTTGATCCATCTAGAAACCTGACTGGTTTGAAGACCATGCCGCTTTGCGGTGGCGTAGGCGCTCTCGTTTGCCTTCGTGTTCTCGGCTACGATGGCTATCTTGGCTTTGACCGAGTAGTACTGCTTGCGGCCGATGCTTGGCGATGGGGAAGGCATGAAATTCAAAATGCACTTGAGCTGCAGCAAAACGAAACGAACGAATCACAAGTATTCACTATATTCAAACTAACCAATCACATTGTGTCACACTCTCCTGGTTGACCCAGCTCTCCTTGTCTAGCTATACCCATTTGCACCAGATTTTACTGACATTTCAGGGGGTACTGGTAGGTGGGGAATACGGTAGTTGTGTCCATGTATGGTCCGGTTGAGGGGCGACGCCACGATTCGACGGTGTTGTCCATAAGCGGTATTTTGGATACCTTTTCCCTTATTCCCGAGCTCCACGGGCACGTGCTGTATGGCGATTTGGCGTACGCATGTCGTCCGCATTTGTGTTGTCCATTTTCCAACGTTCCGCACGGTTTCAACGCCGACAATTTCAACAAGTCAATGAGCTCAGTACGTGAGGCAGTGGAGTTTCCACTTGATTAAATGTTTGTGGTCATTCATGGATTGGAGCAAAAAACAAAAGGTGCGGCAATTACCGATTGGGCAAGTGTGGATCGTGTGCGTCTTGTTAACCAACTGGCACACCTGCTTGCAACCGATGGGAAATCAAATATCCATGTATTTCAATTGCAAGCCGCCATCGCTTGAGGAGATGTTAACAGCTCACGACTAAATAAAAAATAGAATACGTTCTATTTTTTCCTGTAGAAGTGCAATCATAACCCTTTGAGATTCAGCATAGCGCTGTTCTGCTACAATTGTTTGTTCACAAGTAAACGAAAGTTGTTCTCGAGCAAGTGCAGCCTGTTCTCGATCAAGTGCAGCCTGTTCTCGATCAAATTCCAAACGCTCGCGTTGAATCGCCGCCACTTCGTCATCCGCTTTCGATAGTTTCGAGACGCCCTCTGACACACCACTCATAAGCAAGTCCAAGGATTTCCGTTTCGTCCTCGTTTTCTTGTAGCGCAACTTGCCCGTGCTGGCTTTGCGCTTCTTGTTCGTTCCAGTATGCGGAGTATTGTTGTCGTTGTCGCTTGACGAGCTGGAGACACCGTTAAATTCCTTGCTTGTCGATTGCAGGGCCATTTCACGAATTGCCTCGCCTGAGTTGATCAGACCTTGCATTTTTCACCGGTCAAGGTCGAGGTGTACTTCCTTGTATTGCTTGTAATCTGCTATGCGCGTGACAACATCGGTGAGTAGCTGAGTACGGACATATCTTCCGTTGACCCCGACTTGCGAAGGCTGGCGTGCTCGTTGGCTACATGCTTCTTGAGAAGAAACTCGGTCCTCTTGCGTCGAGCCGGACCACTTTTAAATGCGCTCAGGCTAGCGTCGGTGGTGAGCTTCTTTGCAATCTCCTCCCATGCGAGTCGTGCCGCTGACCGCCGGGATTCCCATGGCCGTGTGAATGATACTTCGTTGAGGAGTGCGATGTCGTCCGAAGCAGACATGAATGACTGAGAAGGTTTCTTGTCGCTGCCTTCGAGTGATGATGTCTTCGTGTTGTCCATGAATGAAAGTGAGGGGGTAATTTTCCAACGTCAATGCGTACATTCCATACAAATTACATTCACTCTTCTATTGTGAAGTGGAAACTTACTTTCCACTTCAAGCGCCAACATTGGAAAGTTTAGTCAGTTTGCAAATTAGTTTTAGGAGAACTTTCCAATTCCAATCAAAATATAGAGAAATTCTGAGTTGGAATTTTCGAAATGGCTTTGCGAATACTCTCTACTATTAACCCACCAAAGTCCTTGATTCATACACTAAATACTGTATAGCACATACACTATATCTGATTTTTGGAGCTTCACAGAGCAGCTTTTTTCTTGGCAATTCCATCTCCATGATGCCAGTCCAACCCCCACCGCCGCTGATCTATCTCCCCATCAAACCCGCCCG